TAAGGAAGTGTGTTATTTTATTTCAGCTCCAATTATTTTAGTGTTATGGTAGGAAGGACTAAAAAAATGAAGAGATGAGCGAGTGAATGTGTGAATGTGGAAAGGGATGAGATGAGTAAATTCATTAAGTATAAAAATTCAATAAAGACCTATCCAATCTAGCGTATTAAAACCATGATGTTCCTCTATTTTGGTTGCGGACTCCTTAAATAGTAGCAAAGTAGCTTGGCCTCGCTTGCACAATTTGATTTTGCTCTGAGACAGAGATGAACGAACCATCTCCGAAGCCTTCTGCCATAGTGGTCATGATAATTTTTAGCGTCAAACCGTGGACTTGAGACATTCCCAAGTTTCTCTGACAGCACGGCAAAGTTGCGAAAACGAATTGAAGCCAATTCTAGACCTATCCCACCTTAAAATAAAATCGCATCGTCCAGCCTCTCATACACACAAATTAGTTGATTAAATTGGTTAAGTGAAGAAACTTAATAGGTTCATAATCTAAGAGATCAAAAGAAATAGCCTCAATCATCAATTCAGAACCAATCTGCTTATATGGAAAATAGTAGTAGTCAACCTTTGGCTTAAATAAAAGGAAAAGATACAGGATGTCAAAAACGAACCTGTTCACAAGAGGCTCGGCCCCGGAGCCGAGCGATGGCACTTGGCAAGGAGACGATTCTGCAACAATGAGACCCAGTCGAATGACTGCCATTGTGTTGATGACAATCAGCCAATCGAAGGATCCGTCGCTCAAGAAGGCAAAGGGCCTGCACAGCCCCAGGCAAAGTGAACCAGTTCAAACGGCCAGATGGGGAAGATTGATGAAACTGAAGCATTTTAGTTTAAGGAAGGAATGAAAAGTAAGGAATCTATGAGCGTATGGAGAAGCCAACATCTATAAAAATGTATAAGCTGCCTTTTCAAACTCAAATGTGAGAAGATTGTAACATCAAATACGCTAAACTATCCAAAAATACCCAAAGGAGCACGAGAACTGAAATATAAATGAAATATATTACTCTAAATAAAGTTATTATGTATATATTATTTATATATTTTTTTAAATACTATCAATAAGTAATAACTCGAGACAGCTCCATATACTCCGCCAGTAGATATAGTACAGTAAACCTTGTCTGTAGCCGTGTCCAACTAGTTTGAAGATCCTCGGAGCATAACATATTTGAATATTAGCATACAGAAGAAATAGATAACAAAGAAGGGCAAAGTTTATAAATAAAGTAGGTCATTTGAAAATGTCTAGCGAAGCCATATACAAACTCAAAATATTGTAATCCAAGAAGACAATATTTTTAGAGCGACAGGTGCTTCGGGAGAGCTTTGGCACCTTTTAAAGTGAGAATAGGTATTATAAAGCAAATGAAACAATGAGGCAAATTCATCCTTACCTCGAGCCGAACTTTATATAAAGCCTTTATAATTGACTGTATACGCGATTCCTTAAAA